TTTCTTGAGCATCCTTTTAACCATTGTCTAGCATCTGTATATGCTAGATTGCTTGTCTCCATTTTATTTAGTTCTTTTAATGGAGATTTTTCCTGTCCTTTCATGGAGGGCTTGTTTCTATGTCTTCAAGTGAGAATATTTTTCAGGAGAACCAATGTGGGGAACTGGTGTGCCTACATTTCTGGAATCCTCTAGCCATCCTTTAGCCATCTTAAAGTTTCTTGATCCACTCATGCAAGAAAGTATATAAAACCCATCTACTTATCCAGTTAGTACATTTTTCCTCTTTTATCTGCAACTTTCGATAAATGATCACCATATTTCTGTGGAAGACTTGCAGAGCGGCTGTCAGAATCCCACACTGATTCTATATCTCGCTCTAACCCTAATGCTGACTTTTTATCACTTCCGTTTTGGTGTGTGCGTGCTCCATTAACATAAATCAAAATGTCATTATTTGCTCTTGTGGAGCACTTTCAATCATATCAGTACCACATTCTTGTTTTCCAATTGCTGGATTTGTTGCTGCTTCCTTTGTAAAACCAGTGACTGCTAAAACATGAAAGAAACTTTTAGAAGAGGTTCAGGTGATGGAAAGGCAGAATGAAACAAGCCCTGGACTTTTATTATTTTGGGGGAAGGTTTTCAACTACATCTTCATTTTCACTGTGACAATTATTTTCCACTTACAAGGTCCTCGTATCTGGTCTTACAATGGCATATTTTGCTTCTGTGTTTTTCTTGTATTGCTGAATAGCAGTCAGCTTTGTTAGGCTCGCTTTCACAACATACTTGGTATCAAAATTAGAATCTTCATTGTCTGATGCAGGCCATGAATCGTCATTGCCAGGTTTGCTGGAAATTCTTAAAGTGTCTGCTTCATAACTCTCATCTACAAGATTGATACTTTCAGAAGTCTTTTTAGGTCTCGTTTTCTTCTTTATATTCAGAAGTTGGTAATTGCTCCAAGGCTAAAATAAAGGAACAAAAATGAAACCTTGTAACACTTGGGTGTTACATAGAAGTTGCTAAAAAGTCCTCTAAGAGTCACTCCACCCCAAGTTACCACAGCCTCCACCGTTTTCAGGCCCAGCAGCCTGGGCATCCGCCAGTCCCATTCGTTGGTCTGTTGGTGAGTAGCCTGTGCCCTGCCCCCCGCCCACCTGCCTCCTTGTGCTAGCAATAAGTTTTAACAGTTATTTTGGCTCAGTCTGAGGTGTAAATAATTGGCTTAAAATACGTTCTGAGGAAGAACACTTTAGGGATGTGCTTTATCATTTACTTATTGCCAGTGATGGCCTCAAAGTAAAAGCTCATCTTTCTATAGAGCAGTACTGTGAAGAGCCCAGTAGAACGAAGTACCTTTTTCTGTCCATGTGGGTGAGCACTCACTAAGTGACATGGATCACTTCAGCATCCCCCAGTTGAGAGCATTCCCTCATATTGCTATATGAGGGTGATAGGCTAAAAATGCTACATAAAAAACATTACCAGGGACTGACCTCACAAATATGTAAAAACATTAGGAGGGGTTTAGTATCTGTTCTGCAGCCTGTTGGACAATGTGGGGATACTAGAGGTTCTCCATGCCAGCCTATGTCCGTTTCGCAAACAAGCCAAGCTTACACCTGTCCACGGCCATTGCCCTTGCTGTTGCCACATGTGGGCCGCTCTCCCTCCAAGGTTGCTGGCAGTGGCTTTCCCTGACCACCTGTTACACAAATCCATTCAGTGTCAGCCTGCCCACCTAATCATATTCTGCCCTTTCCCTGCTGTCTAGATGGCTCTGGCTGGAACTGTTTGGGTAGTGGTCCTTTGTGAGGGCTCTTGCCTGTTCTACTCTCCAGAGTGTAAGAGTAACATAAGCAGGGACCTTGCCTGAGCTACACACCGTGATCTCCCCAGCATCTGGCTGGCCTCGAGAATCAGGAAATTCTGGTTAGATAAAATAGCTTCTTCAAATTGCAACTTTGCATCCCTGTGTTAGCAAAGCTTAGAATTTAATCTCCCATCTAATTCATGCTTAATTTGAGAACAGGTAGACAATTTATTGAGCAGCTTTAGAGAATTTCTATGTGTATCTATTATACTCTAACCTTGGAGGTTGGGATGCAAAGGTGTCAGAGATTTCAAATTTACCTTTTAAAGATGTTTTCCCCCCATGTAGGCAGAGGAGAGAGCAGGGGAGCACACTAATGTCAGAGGTTAGATCATGAGTGTGTTGTAGCTCAAAGTATGTCATGAATCTGAATGTAACTTGACTGGTTGAAATGACTCAGCCACATGAAACCAAGAAGCAGAAAGCAGCACTTGTGGCTGAGTTATGAATTTTACAGGCTCTGGAGGGCAATTGGACAATATCTCTCAGAAGTACAATGCACAAACCTTTCAAGCCAGCAATGCGACTTCTAGGAATTTTTTGTAATAGCATTGTTTGTAATAGCAAAAAGTTGGAGTCTACCACCACCATAGGGCAATGGCTACATGAATTATGGTGAATCCATACAATGGAGTATTAAAAGAACAGAGCCACTCTGTTTGTCCTGCCATGGAATGGTCCAGAGGATGCATGGATAATTTGAGGGGAAAGAGGTTCATAGTATACTGTTTGTTTATAAAAAGAGGACGGGAATGGAGAAAAAAAATGCTGTCTGTGGGTATATCTGTGTGTGTGTAACTGTATCCACACACACAAATGTATATCAAACACCTCTGTGTGCATATGCCTAGGATATTTCTGGGAGGATACACAGGAGCCTGATGGCCTTGATTGCCTCTGGGAAGAGGGATGGAAATTACTTCTCACTATGTATCTTTTGTAGCTTTTGAATTATGTACCATGTACCTGTAGTCTTTGTTTCAAAAGTTTTTTAAATTTTAATTTGGCTTACTTTTTAAAAAATAAAAGACAGGGGATTCTCATTTAGTAAATCTGCTTTCCTTAGGAGTTTAAAACCCTTGAGCCAAAAGTAGTTAAACTCTCTTCTTCTTGAGTCTTGGAGGTAAGAAGACTAGGGAAGTGAAAAGAGGGCTGTCCTCTTTTGGTGGAGCAGCTTTGGGGAGATGAAGCATGAAGATAGTTCTGCTCTGATTGTGTGAGTGTGTTGGGGTCATGAGGAGGGGAAGGAAGGGAACAGATTGTGAAGTGGCTACTCCCTGGAAACAGATTAAGGCTGCTGCAAGGTTGCCTCTGTCTCATGAGGATCTTAGCACAGCCTGTGTTCTTCTGGCTTTGGGGGTTGAAAATGTAGAAGTAGTACCTCTCAGCCATGGTTCAAGGGGAGCTATTAACATTCTCCAGAAGCCATGCCTGCCCTGTGTGGAAACCAGTTGTGAGTGATCTTTACCAACAGAACCCTGATTCTGTCCCACTCTGGTGGCTGTGTCCAGCCCCAGGAAAGGAATCATGACAGTTCTAAGACAGTCATAGAAATCCTATTTCTCTTTGCCAGGAATTGGTTTACACATGGGTATCTAACCCACTTATGGCCAATACTTGGTACAACAGCTGCACATGGTGGTTAATAAGTAGTCCTCTTAAAATTTATTCCTGATTGTGTATTTTAGGAAAGGAGCTATAGGGGAAAAGATCATTAACACCACCTGGTGTCATTCAACCAAAAGGGAAAATCCCCAATAGCCCTAAGCTTGAGCTGGAGCCCTTAAAACACAACAGTGATGGATGACTAAGAAGGTCATCTGATTGAGAATTCCATATCCACCTGCCCCACTTCCTCCAGGTTGTCTACTCAAAGAATTTTTCCATACCTCAGCCATCAGGTGAGTCAGTGGTGAAGAGGACTCTTGTATAAATTAAAAAACCTAATTAGACATCCAGCCCACCTACAAAATCTGGTGGACTGTGGTCAAGATGATTTCATCCAGGTGTCCTTCTTGTCTGGGCCCTTAGAGTCTTACATACATATATTTAATTAAATCAGGAAGGCCAAGATTCACCATGGCAATTTTGGAGGGGTTTGTTGATGGTATTTATTTTTGAGTTCCATGACAGGCATTTCCCCATCTCTATCGCTGTGTGTGTGGGGCGGGGGGGGGGGCGGGGATAATGTAGGTAGATAGATACGAATGGATAGATTTGTATGTATATACACACATATGACTGACTGAGCATAGAAATGAATGCTTCAGAAGTATTTTTAATACACATACAAATCAGTATGGCGAAATAATGGCAAAATTTCTCTCCGCGGCTCTCCCTTGTGGTACAGAGGCAGAGAAGATACCTCAGCAGTTTCTTTATGCTGGTGGCACACTGGAGTCACTTGAGGAGCTTTAAAAAGCACTGCTACATGGGTCTCATCTACTGCCCAGGAATGCCAATTTATTTGGTCTGAAGAGCAACCTGAGCATCCAGCACTCTCTCACTGACCAAAAAGAAAGGTCTCTAGAGAACTAATATGAATCACCAGACCTCTTTTTTGAAAGTCTGATTCAATAGGTGTTGGTTTCACTCGACACTTTTTTATTAAAACTTTAGATGATCTTTGGATAATCCTCATGTCACAAATTGGGACATACTCCCTTGGGGAAGATGAGTTGAATCAGGTGCATAAAGGTTGGGGAAGGGCCGTTTTATAAAGGAAACATTTCTGAGTGTGACACAAAACACACCCTGTGCTGAGAGAACCCACTCTGAGGAATATAGTATTAGACAAAGAAAAGGCAAATCAACTCTGTCAGTTCCAACCAATTACCAGCAACTGCCTAAAGTGCTGTCAGGAAAGGATTCTGAAGCAGAGTTCCTGTTCAGAAGGAAAATGTGCCATGATTGATGAACAATGTCTGCCACCACAGGAAGAGGGTGAACTGCACACATGCCACACATTTGCTTTCTGGAGAGCCTTTGCAGCCCCAGCTCAGTGTGATGTTCTCATCGCCATTAACACTCAGCTGTGGGGGAAGACTCCAGGGGGACTAGGGAAGGGAGAAATCCAAGTTCCCACCCCATAACTCTGTGCATGTCTCTCCAGGCACCGAGTTTATCTCTGCTTGGTAAAGAGGCTTTTGAAGGCATTGTTGTAGTTCTTGTTAAAAGATATGTAAATTAGGGGGTTCAAGAAAGAGTTGGAGTAGCCAGGCCACAGGAATATGCTTTTCCAGATGGGCCGGCTGCAGGCACAGAGGGGGCTGATGAGCTCCATCAGGAAGAAAGGGATCCAACACAGCACAAACATGCCAGTGAGGATGCCCACTATTATGGCCGCCACCCTCTTCTTCTGTTCCTGCCTCAAGTCCCCACTTGCCTGAAAGGCCACCATTGAGCAACGCACGATGAACACCACCTCAGCCTCCTGAGGTGCTGCCTTCATCTGGAACAAAGAAAACAGGAAATTAAAAAGAAAATACACTGGGTGAGTACAGTGAGATGAGGCTACTCCGGTCTTGGCCACCACCTCCCCTTACAGCCTCATTCAAGCTGCATTTGTCCATAATCCATCAGAAAATGTTAGGTGAAAAGGTTCCTGAAACTGTAGTTTAAAATGCAGTCTGAAGGTTCTTCAGGGCATGAGAGTAACAGTCCCCGCAATGTCAAATAATATGATATAAAAGGGAAGGAAAGCAGTTAAGAGCAGGGGCACCTTGGTGTCAGTCCCAGCTCCACAGGCTGTTTCTCCACCTTTGAAGCAAGGTGACCAGAGTCACCTCCTGTTGTCCTAAGACTGTCATGGAGATGAACTGGGCATGTGTGTTGGGGTGCCCGGCACAACTCCTGGCCCATGCACTCACCCACTCAACACTCGTGGAGTGGGCTTGGGGCTGAGACTAGGGCCCCAAATACAGCAGACCCACGCCTACCCCTCACAAAGTTTGCAGCTGAAGAGGAAGCCTGTAAACAGTAATTTGAAAAAAATTGAACAATTACTCTGCTAAATGGATTCAGTGTAAATTATGGGATAATTCCATATTGCCCAGCATTTGAAAATCAAATTGCAAATACTTTTGGGCTTATAATTAGCTTCCATTTATGGAGCTTCTGGCCCATGCTACCACCCCTGTCAGTGGCCTTCCTGACCCTCTTACTCACATCTCCCTGTTTGGTTCCACATTCTCCTCTTTTGTAGTAATTTATGTGACATCTGGTTCAAGCCAAAGGAGGTCAGTGACTGTCTCTTCTTTTTCTGATACCTGTCTGCTGTCTGGCAGTAGCACCTGGCACCTAGTAGGAACCCAGGAAATAGGTGCTGAATAAATGAGTGGTCATTGATACAGAATGGTCCATGCCTACATTTTTCTTCCTTCCCAGAATGCTGCAGACATGGCCACAAATGCTGCCGAACGCACACAGGCAAGAGGCTTCCAGGCAAGTTGTTAGACACAACTAGAAGCAACTGTCAGGACAGCCACATGGCCGTAAGGCACTTCACAGTGTCCATGCACATTCCTGTGTCCTCTCATGTGGGCCATGGTGGCCAAAGGTAAGGGATGGGGGGAAGTTTCCAGTAGGCCTGACTTAGGCAAACCCAGGACTCCTCACTCTAACTCTACCTTCAAATCCAGTGTCTTCTGTTGCTTCTCCTACCACCCTGGTTATGTTTATTTGTAAAATCACTAAATTGGCCTGCAGACAGGTCATGAAGATACAAACAAAGAGTCCTTTCCTTGGCAAGTGTTTACCCAGCATCCTGTGCCTGAGACATGGAGCAAGAATGTAAAGGCAGGTGATTCCAACAGCATAACAAACAGCATGTTCCCTCCTCCCACCCCTCTCTGCCCTTCCTAGAGTCCTGGCTTGGCAAACATGAACCCTCAGGGGGTCACCCAGAGCCCCTTCTTTAATGAGCTGTCCCAAGTTTTCCCATTCCTCATGTCACCTTTCTCCCTTTCCAAATAATACTGGCCAGTTCCCTCATAGCAGACCACCATCAAGTCACCAAAGGAAGTGTGAGAGATCAAATACAGCATCCTGAAATCACCCCATGAATATTTAACAGTCTGATGTCAGGAGGAAAAAATACTGGGTTGGCCAAAAAGTTCGTCTGGTTTTTTTCCATAAAAATAAGACATTTTTTCATTTTCACCAATAACTTTATTATGAATATTTTGAGTATGTCAGCTATCTCCCAAGTGGTATAACATTGATTGTTCCTAATGTCTTGATTTGATCACTATCAACTTCAATTGGTCTAACCAACCATGGAGCCATCGCCCAGCAAGAAATCTGGATCCAGCACGAAACTTCGCAAACCACTTTCGACAAGTTTGATTAGTCAGAGCACCTTCTCCATACACTGCACAAATCTTTGAGTTCTGTTGCATTTTCATCTTTCTTGAAATAACAAAGTATAATATGCCAAAAATGAGTATTTTCTTCCATCTTCAATATTAAAATGGCTACACAAAAATTCACCAATTTTGATATTTTTTTTAATGCATACTGATATGACAGCTGTCAATACAGTGTAACAAAATTGTTTTGAGTGACATTAAAGACAACTAAGTGCTTCTAGAGCCATCTTACAGAAAAAACCAAACTAGCTTCTTGGCCAACCCAGTATTACCTGAGCATGAGAGGAAATGAAAGGTAATTTGTTTTCACTAAGTTCATTAGTGGGCATTTTTGCCAGTCATTTCTCTACTGACCTAAATGACCTCCCAGGCACTGGAGTTCCTCTACTGGGTAATGCAAATCCCAAATCTTTGTTATGCTACTAAAGTGAAGAAATGGGATAAATTCAGTTCAAAGAATCCAGGGGGAAGAGAAACGAACAGCAAGTCCACTGATTAAATAGGTTTGAAACACTGTGACCTCCACAGCAGAGCATTTAGCAGAGTCCACCTTTGCTCCACCACAGTGTCTGCTGGAAGCCTGTGCTCACAGCTTTTCATCTGAGCCGGCTCTGCCCTGTGCAGTGATGCTGGAGGACAACAGAATCTATTCAGAAACAGACTAAAGAAAATCAATCAGGGATGATTCTGGTTTTTCTAGGAGACTGTCTCGATTGGTTCTTTTGGTTTGAAATGCAATATCTAATAGCAAACCAAAAGACAGGACCAAGATAGAGGTGTAGGTAGATGCACTTTGCCGCCTCACACAACCAAAAGAAGGACAACAAATTTTTTTAAAAAATAACCAGAACTGCCAGGAAATCAAATTCTATGGAAATCCAACAACCAAGGCACTAAAGAAACACTCATTCAGACCAGTAGGAGGAGCGGAGACAGGCAGCCGGTGGGGAAAAGATGTGTGGCAAGGCATTGGCTGGAGGACCCAGTGGGTGGGCAAGGCGGCAGCTGGCAGACTGGGTGGTCCCACATTTGCATATGGGTAGACTGGAGGAACAGCTAGGCAGCAAGACAGACCACGTGATCCAGGGTTCCAGTATGAGAGAAAAGGAAGCCTCAAAACCTCTGGCTGTAAAAAACGAGGTGGGGGGGGCGGTGCAGGGGCAGGAGAAACTCCTAGTCTCACAGACGAGTTCATTGGAAGGACCCACAGGGTCCTAGAATGTACACAGACCCACCTACCCAGGAATCAGCACCAGAAGGGAGGACCCAAACTTGCTTGTGAGTAGCTGGGGAAGTGACTGAGAGCTGACCGGGAGCAAAGCAAGCAGCTTTGTTTCTTCTTGGACCCCTCCCCCAAAGACAGCACCACAACACAGTGAAGAGGGTTGCCCTACCCTGGTGAATACCTAAGGCTCCACCCCTTCCAACGATTTCCAAGGCGCACTGAGATAGAGAAATTTGGCCCAAATGAAAGAACAGATCAAAGTTCCCAAAATAGAACTAAGTGATGGACAGATAGCCAACATATCAGATGCATAATTCAAAATGCTGGTAATCTGAATGCTCACTGAATTGGTTAAGTATCACAAAATGGAGGAAAAAGTGAAGGCTATGCAAATTGAAGTAGAGAAAAATACACAGGGAACCAACAGTAAAGGGAAGGAAACTGGGATTCAAATCATTTGGAGCAGGAGGAAGAGATGAACATTCAACCAGAACAGAATGAAGAAGCAAGAATTCAAAAAAATGAGGAGAGGCTTAGGAACCTCTGGGACAACTTTAAACGTTCCAACATTTGAATCATAGGGGTGCCAGAAGGAAAAAAGGAAGAGCAAGAAACTGAAAACTTATTTGAACAAATAATGAAGGAGAACTTCCCCAGTCTGGCCAAGGAAATAGACTTCCAGGAGATCCAGGAAGCTCAGAGAGTCCCAAAGAAGTTGGATCCAAGGAGGCACACACCAAAGCACATCATAATTCCATTACCCAAGATTAAAGATAAGGAGAGAATCTCAACAGCAGCAAGAGAAAAGGAGACAGTGACCTACAAAGGAGTTTCCATAAGACTACCTGCTGATTTCGCAAAAGAAACCTTGCAGGCAACATGGGTCTGGAAAGTTTTCAGAGTCACAAAAAGCAAGAACCTACATCCAAGATTACTCTGTCCAGCAAAGATATCATTTGGAATGGAAGGGCAGATAAAGTGCTTCCCAGATAAGGTCAAGTTAAAGGAGTTCATCATCACCAAGCCCATATTATATGAAATGTTAAAGGGACTTATCTAAGAAATAGAAGATCAAAAACTGAACAGTAAAACAGAGGGGAAGGGATGGGGGAAGGGGAAGAATGGGGGAAAAGGTACAGGGAATAAGCATAAATAGGTACAAAATAGGCAAGAGAAGCTTTAGAACAGTATAGGAAATGGAGAAGCCAGAGAACCTATATGCACAACCCATGGACATGAACTAAGGGTTGGGCGGGAGGATGCCCGGGGGGGTCGGGGGACGGTGTAGGGTGGAGGGGAATAAAGGGGAGAGAAAAATGGAACAACTATAATAGCATAATCAATACAATATTCTTTAAAAAGCCCAAAAGACAAAGAACAGCACCCAAGAAGCTACTACAAAAGACACTATGCTTAATTTTTGCCATAGATGACTCATTCATCCCCATACCAAATCTTTGAGGTATTATTATCTCTATTCTGTTGAGAAAACTCACTGAGAGGCTAAATGCCTTGTCCAAGGTCATGGATTTGCATATTGTTAGAGCTGAAAGTCAAACTTGACCCCTCTGTGTTATTTTGCATCTTAAGCAAAAGCAATCAATCTGAATGGGCTCCCACAGAACCTGCTTTAAGGATATTCATGCTGGGGATTCCAGACGCAGTGGCTTCCTGGGCAGTTTCTAGTGCCTCTAGCAACCAGCTCTGAAGTCATCCCAGAGTTTCTCCACTTTTCCTCTTTGGCCTTTGATACGTGTCTGGTACTTGGCTAGTTGCTTCCATATCCTATCTTAGTTATAACAGCAACCATGTAAGGTAGGAATGAGGAAACCAAGGCTCAGATCAAGTTATTCATTA